TGTCTGTGGGGGAAGCAGTTCAGAAGGGATGGATGACCAAGGACAGCGCTTTCCCCTATCTGGAAGTCCAGCATCTAACTGGAGGGCTCATCGATCCCAAGAAAACTGGTCGCATCCCTGTGCTGGAAGCTGCCCAGACAGGGATGATAACAGGCGACCTGGCCAACAGGCTCCAGGATGAGTCCAACTATGAAAAAGATCTTATTGACCCTGTCACTAAAGAGAAGATGAATTACAAGGAGGCCATGGCTCTCTGCCAGAAGGATTTGCTGAGCAGCCTCCTGCTGCTCCCAGCCACGTCCGAGGGGTATCAGCGGTACCACCAGGTGAGCCGTTCCCCCGGGCTCTCCCGGTTCAGGCATTGAATGGGTCCAGGCATGTACTGGATCTGGTTCCTTCAGGAGGTCATCCCTTCAAAACACTTCTCCCCACGGAGGCAGCAGTGATCACAGGAACGGAGCGTCTAGCATTTAGGGCTGCATACTTCTATCTTAGCTATCTCTGCTTCCCAACGCAGCTTGGTCGTGCGAGGAAGAAAGTGTGATCGTGAGCGTGTAAGGGCCTGACACACAGGGGTCCCCGCAGTCCCCCAGGTGCTGCTGTGACAGCAAAGGGGGGTTGATTGCAAGAACTCCCCCCGCAGTAGGTAAAACGTGGTTATGCCCAGAAAGCGGGGAGAGCCAGAGTGTTTTCCAGTTGGGTCATTCTTCTGCATGCAATAAATCATAGAAAGTGCATCTCTGTGGCTGTGTTGTCTCTGCAGGCTGAAGCATGGCTAGTCCTCCCCCCATGCAATCTTATGCCCTGCGGCCCGATCTACAAAAGGTTTGCAGACTCTTGCTCCCCCTGATCTCAAAGCACTGAACCCCCTAAATTTCCTTCTGCATGTGAGTCCATATTTTTAAAGGTTTTGTTATATTTGTCTTTAAAACTGAAAACCAATGGGACTTTGCTCCCTAGTCATTTGGACACCTCTGAAAGAGGGGCTTGGTCGCCAAAGGGTGCGGTTCCATGTTACGTTTGATCCAGCCTAAGTGCAGGCAGCTACCGAATGGAGCAGCCCCCCTGCCCCCTCCAGCTGCCTGTCCCTGGTGCCTCTCTGGCTGCAGACCAGTGATGGTGTTGGCTGTACAATGACTTGGGTCCCTTCACTGAGCTGCTGGCAGAGGAAGCCAAGCCCCAGGCAAAACCAAACCAAACCAAACCCTGTTGAAGTAGATGATTTTGGGGGTTTGTCCTGTACAGAGGCAGATGTGTTGCAAGGGAAGGGATGACCTTCAGTAGGAGATTGATGATGCTTGCAGCCAACAGTGATGTGAAACTGCTTTCTACAGCCCTTGGCTTTGGTTGCAGGATCCACCCAGTAGTACCTGAAAATCTGCACTTGCTATTTCTTCAGGCAAACTTTCACTCCTCTGTGTCACTTCCAGTGCTCAGCCCTTGCTGAAAGGAGCAAGTCCTAACTCCCGCATATCCCTGTTGAGATGAGAGATGAAATGTTCATCCCTAGTCTCTACCCTATTCTGGAGAGTCCCCTGGCTTTGTGGGATGAGAAAAATGACCTATTGACATGAGCTGCTCTTCCCCCTCTCGCAAGGGCTCTTTTAGCTGCCGCTGCTTGGGAAATGCAACACCCCCAAAATAATCCATAAGGGTAGGGGTTTTCTCCCCCTCTCCCCTATCAGCGCAGCAGCATAGCCTCTTATGTCCATACAGCCTAGCTGGCATTTGAAGTCTGGGCTCCAAGAAATTCTTCCCATGCTGGCAAGCTCAGCACAATCACAGGTCCCATTACCTTCCTGCTGGTAGGTAGTGCTCAGCATTAACAATCTGAGTCCGGCTATGGAAACACCAAGTTTCCAGTCCAAGATCTGCCCAGGCTCTGTCACATGCTCTGCAGGGTCTATGTTTATTGTCAGGCCTATGGCTGATGTCCGTGGCCATCTCGGCTGCCATGATCAACGGGGGGAAATTTGTTAGTTTACACTGGGGAAAACTGTTCCACACGCCCTAGAGCATCCGTTCCCAGCCTGTTTCCTCTTGGTAGAGCACTGCTGGCACATGGGACAATGTGCATTCCCCTCCTGGCTGGTCTGGACCAGCAGCAAGGGCTGGAGCTGGGCTGTGATGGACCAGGGGATGCATCAGAAGAGAAACCGTGGCCTGGACTCCTGCCAGGGCAAGCCCAACAGCCCTCAGAGCACAGCCAGGTGAGGATCACATCCCAGTGCAACCAAGGAGCCCTGGACCAGTGCGGTTCCCAGCAGTCCTCAGGTCCCAGCTCTTCAGAGCTGCTGGGAGCAGCCTTGCTGTGCTTTGACTTTGCTCCCCTCGGCTGGCTGGAAGCAGGGAGGATCCATCAGCAACGGGGCTTGTTGCCTTTTCTGCAGCTTGGCTCTGCCCGACAGGTGAGTTTGCTGTGAGCCTTCCCCTCGCCCGGCTCCATGGGGCAGGGTGCTGGGCTGTAGGGCTGCCTTCGTCAAGGCTGCTCCCCTTGCAAATGAGATAAAACCGTGCTTGTTTTTAAAACAGTATGATGTTCATGTGGTGACTCTTTCCTGAAGTGCTGATTAAATAGTTTTGGGGAATGCTTTGTAACTAAGGAACTTGGAGTTCTGGTAATTAGGCAGTCAGTTAATCATTTTGGATAAAGTGCTCCCTAACTGTGTGGTGGGAGGTATTTACCAGCCTTAGGGCTGGGTGAAGGTGTTAAGAGACGATTAGGTGGCTGAGCAGTCTAGCTGGCTGAGCAGTCTCCCTTGAAGGCCGGTCTGCCTTTTGTTTCTGAAAAAAACCCACCACTAAAAAATCCTTTTCTTTGCTGTCAAGTGGTCCTCATCTGCAGAAAGCAGCTCGCGTCACGTCCTCTTGATGTGTCCATAGGAAGCACCACACAGCCATGGGGTGTGCCCAGAGCCCAGATGTCTGGCAGGGTTGTGAGTTGCTTGGGAGGAGCCAGGTAGTGCTTTTCCTCCCTTCTCGGGTACAGGATGATGGTGCTGCACCGTGGCTTTCCCAGAGCGGTTATTTTGACACAGCTGTTGTTGGTTGCCTTTGCTGGCAGTAGGGTTGGGTCATATATGTTTGAAATTCAGCTTCTTGCTTCATTTGTTGGGCTAGATGAGCTGTAGTATTTTTATTTATGTTTCTGGACTGGATGAATGTCCTTGGTATTTATTTCTTAATGCAGGTCTTTTTAGAAAGAAAACAACTCTTCTGCAAACAGTTTGCCTGGTACAACACGAGCATTTGTTTGCAGAGAGCAAACAATGGAATATTGTACGTACAAAATGAATTTACTTTAAAACATGTATGCAAAGACAGGGAAATTATTCCTATAGCAGAATCCATACATGTCTCAGAAATGTGTCCCTGCGAGCTGAGTGTTATCATACGGAGGCCAGGAGATGCTGCAGGAGCACAGCAGGGCTTCAATTTTCCTGCCATACGGCTCTCGAGGCTGCTGCGTGAGCCCAGCTGCCTGCTCTCCCCTGCTCAATCAGAAAACCATCCCTCCCGAACACGAGCAGGTCAGCTTTTTCCAGGCAGCCGCTCCAGCATGACTCCTAACAAGAGCTTCAAAAGCAAAGCAATACCCGCCTGCCCCAAAAAACCTAATCTGTGCAAATTGCAGAGGCGAGCAAGCTCCCCAGGTCCTGGTGGCTTCTAAACCTGCAGGGGAAGTACAGCCCAGCGGCGTGGCAGGGCCCGGAGGGAAGTGAGCAACAGGTCCCAGGGCTTCACTGTCAGGGATCTGTCAGGAGGTGCGGCTGCTACAGTAGGGATGACAAAGGTCTTTTTGATGTCAGGAATTAAGCAGAGCCACCCACTGCCTTTTGGTGGGTGGGGAGAAGGAATGAATGATGGAGGAAGCCAAAGGACAACAGAGCTTGGCTATAGACGGGCAGGTCTTGGGCTGAGAGGGGCTTTTTCAGGAGGGACTCCAAAGGTTTCTCTCCCCTGAGCAAATTCTGTGGTATCTAGTAGGTGGGGAGGGAGGTTTGTGCTGCAGCTGTGTGTGCAGCCGCCTCTCTGCTTTACTGCATTGTTTGTCATGAGACTCTAGGAATGTGATAGCTTTTGAGAGCTGCCAGGTTGTGCTGAGATCAGTTCTTAAGCTCATAGTTATTAGGAGGGCACATGTGTGCACGTGCATGAAAAACAGGACTGCAGAAGTTTGGCTTCCCTAAGTTAAAAATCTGTCTATTCAGTATTTAAGTAAGTAGAATATAACTCTGAACTGTTTGTGGCAACTTCTGATGGAAAGCAAGCCCACCTTACCATACCGAGAGAGCACTGGGCTGCAGAACTATCAGCCCCTCGTTCCACAACAGAATCGAGAGCACATCTCTGCACGTGCCAAGGATTTGGGCTGGAAAGGATAAAAGAAAGAGTGCAGGAGATGATAAAAGGAGAAGAGCTCTGTTAAAAAAAAAAAACAAAAAAAAAACCACACACAAAACCAAAAAGGACCAGACAGACTGTCCTGTGTCACTAGCTCAATGGGCCGTGCCAAGCAATAAACACCAAGGTTTCTGAACAAGTAACAAGCCTTTATTTTTTTCTGTACTGAAAGAAAAAAAATGAAGATGTCAAAACCAGACCAAAAGTTAGTGACAATTCTCCAAACATTTGAACAGCAAAAACATTTCCAAGACAATAAAGCGAAGGAAACAGCATTACCTCTGGACCGACGATGGAAAGCCAGTGTTTTAGCTGTTACTGTTTCCAGCCATATGCAACAAGTGCTTTATGCTAACTGGATCTTCTGGCTTCTTGGTCCCAGCTAAGGCACAAATTAAGACACCTGACAGTGCTCTTCACCTTGTGAAACAGCAGAATGTCAGCTCTGTTAAACAGCTCAGATTAAACAACTTGTCTAGTGCTGACAAGCCCAGTCTTTGGTAACAGCAGCAAAGGGCTGAGCAGAGAAGCGCTCCCCTACGCAAAGCGGAGCTCCAGCACGCCCTGGTGTCAGAAGCTGCCACCGACAGACCTGGGGATGCTCCAGTGCTGGAGAGACAGAAATCACTGTGCGTCACCTTAGCTCGCTGACTAATGCAAGGACAAACCTCTGAAAGATGCTCTCTTATCTATATTTCAGTGGTTTATGCTGATAAATACCCCCCCTTTTGCACATGACCTCTTCAAAACAGCTCTATTGGCTGTAGCCTAGACAAACTTTCCCCCAGCAACAGGCTGAGAGTCTCTAAATACAAGAATATCCCCCTCCAGGCTCCTCAGGAGAAGTGAGTCCCTGGGTCCCAGCCAGCCCCCTGCTAAGTGCCCAAAACCAGACCTGCACCACTACCCGGAGGTGCAAGCACGTGGGGAGAGCTGTGTCTTCTCATCTGCGGTGTCTCTGCAGCGCACGTCGCTCTTCAGGGCTCTGAGGGCTTCTCCAGAAGAAATACTGGTGATTGAGGGCTGCCTTGGCTGAGATGCGCCTGCTGGGATCGTACAGGAGCAATTGCTGCCAAGAGAAAAACCCAGCAGATTTAGGCTTTTAAAAAACAAATGATCGATTGCACCTGCATGTGTCTGGGCCCGGATGCAGCTATTGGTCCTGCCTTTTCCCCCTCTCTGGGCTTCAGGAGTAACCCACAGCTGAAGTTACCATGGGGATTACGCTAGAGGGGTTTCTTGACCCTCGATGCAGTGGTTTCCTAGAGGAACCGGCACTGACAGCCCCACTTCAGAGCCAGGACTGAGCCCTATTCGATGATTCAGTGTTTCTGCAATGGCAGAGATGAGCATTAGAGCCAGATCAGCTAATGCACTTCTGGGTAGATCAGTCCCAAATATCCCTATTCTTTGCCCAGTTTGAAAAGGTCCTGTCTGTCCCCGGGTCTCACTCACCACCAGTAAGTCTCTACCATCTCGATCTAAGTTGGGAACAATTTCCTTCATCTCCTTCCTTGCCCACCGGGGAAAGTCCCTCTTGTAGTCAGGCAGCTGGGTCACCCCAGGCCAGGTCGCCTCGGTGGGAGTGCCCAGGGTGCGAAAGATCCGGAAGAGCTGATCAATCTCAGAGTCCCCTGGAAACAGGGCCTTCCTGGTCACCTGGGCAGAAAAAAAAAGCCAGTTCCCACCTTTCCATCAGCTGTATGCCCTATTTCCCGCTACAAGCAACCCTTTGTCCCAGCAGACGCAAACAACTGCACAGACCAGGGCAGTTACAATGCAGCAATTCTGCCAGGCAGTGGTTGGGAAAGTCACGGGTGTCTGTCTGCTTGTCTCCAGCTCCCCTGCATGGATCTGTGCTCCCCTGAGGCTGTCCTCTTTCAGCCAGTCCCTTATCCCTCTTTGTCTCCAGTTTCCTAACACCCGCTCTTGCAGGCTAGCTCCCTCCCTGCCTACTTGCCCAGGCTCTGCTGATCTGCAGCTTGGGGACTTTGGGTGTTAGGGATAGTGCTGTTACACTGCAGCGATAACAAGAGCTCTTTAAAGCGGAATATGGACCCCTAGGAGATCCACTCTGCCATGCTATGAAGTGCTAGTTCTCTGCAGCCCGCTGCGGGGACATCTGCAAGACAGTGGTCTCCTCCCAGGATCAAAATGCTGCAGCAACAAGACTGAAGTTACCCCTTCTGCAAGGACACGCATCGCGTTCCCATATACCTGGAACTGCAGCTGGACTACAGAGGCTTCTTTGCCTTCTGCCAGGGCCCTGAGGGTGACAGATTTCCTTTTGAGCCCACAGCTAAGGATCAGCTAACCCTCAGGGTGGACTTTCCATAATACACACTCCAGCACAGGGTGGGACCACAGTATCACAGATGTTCTGCGTCTTGTCCCTCCTTCCCCACTTCCCATTGCAGCGACATCCTCCCTGCTCATTAAAGAGAATATTTAAACCCATTCTACCATTTCTGCAAAGATGCAGCCGATGCTCCAGATATCCACAGCGGTCGAGTAGTATTTGCATCCCAGCAGTATTTCAGGGGCTCGGTACCACAGAGTCACCACCTGGTAAGGAACCAACAAACAAGCTTTGTCTAGTTTCCCTGGGTGAAACTAGAGGCATGGAATCCTCTCTTCTCAGTTGTCATGCAGCAACTGTACAAATCAGAGCATGCCAAGGCCACGCTGAATTAACAGACACCTTAGTGACAGCAAGATTGGGATTAACAGATCATTCTTCAATAGGACACTTTGGAACAAATAAATATACCCTATGCAGTGAAGGTGGGAACCCAGCTTGCAGGCAGGCTAGGGTAGAAGCAGTCAGCACACTTTGTGGGGACATGAGGTAACCCCTTAGCTGCGGGTTAGGTTAAGAGCATGTGCCTGGGCACAGCTGTGCCTCAGCTATGGATGAGTAACTTGTGATGCTGCTGTTGTTCACCCACTATGGATTTTGTACCCCACTCTGAGGTGGCAGGGAGTCTCAACAATACCTCGTGAGTGTATGTGCGCAGGGGGACTCCGAAAGCTCTTGCCAGTCCAAAATCAGCCAGCTTGATTGCTCCTGCTTCGTTAATGAGGAGGTTCTGTGGCTTCAAGTCCCTGTGGATGACTCTGTGTGAGTGGCAGAAGCTCACACCCTGCAACAGCTGGAAAAGGTAGTTCTAAGGAGAGAAGAGATTTCGGACAATGTCACAATGAAACCACTTCGAAGGTTGGATCATGCGAACCAACACACTTTGGATCATTTACAGACCTGAATGGGAAAAAAGACCTTGCTATAAGGCAATGCCAGGCTTGGGGGCCACTAATCAGAGATGCACACAAACTGCTCCCACCCTACATGGGGACAGAGAGACTCCAATCCAAGCAGTGGCAGTCCCTTCCACCCATCCATTACTCTCTGCAAAGGCAATTAGCAATAGATCCTCAGTTACCCTCTTAACAGCAGTTCGTTCTGCAGCGAGGTGGGCTGAAGAGCCTGGAAACAGCTGGGAAACAAATGCACTGAGCAATAGTGCCAGGAGGTTTTCCCAGCTGAAATGTTTGACATCTGAGAGGTTGAATGCCTCCAGCCAAGGATGAATCTCTTCCAGATGCAGTCTGGGTAAGAGCAGCTCAGTGCCGGCTCTGCCCAGCAGAAGGCAGCAAGGACACACACTCTCTGTCCTGCCCGTTAGCGTTCCTTCCACACCGTACCTTGACCAAGCTTAAAGAAAGCTCTCCAGGTCGGGATGAGTCCATGTATTTCTTCAGGTCCTGATTCAGATACTCAAACACCAGATAGAGCTTCTTCTGGCTGTGTACAACATCCAGGAGCCTGCAAAAGAAGTGCAAGCACTCCCTTTCAGTACCTTTGTGTGGGAATCCATGCTATGCAGGAGTGTAAGTCTGTTACAGAATATGTGGGAAGACTTTCTCCAGACCTTTGCCCAAACATATCCAAACATCCCTTCTCCCACAGATGCTTCTGCTCTGTGACTCCTTTGGAGCAGAGAGGCAGATATAAAAGCAGCATCTAGTATGGTACAGCAGCAGCTTGGATCAGACTGTGTTGCTGGAGTGAAGTGGCAGTGCTGTGGGCTATTTCTGCTAATGAGGGAAGTGCAAGTGATTCCTGCATTTTCCTGTTTATTTTGCTCCTTTCTGTGCAGTCAGGGAAGCACTGGAAGGCCCCTCTTGCTGCCTGTACCCAGAGCTCCCCATGGGGATGAGCAGGAGCTCGTCAATATGCTGGTGGGGAGGGTTCATCCAGGTCTTACCTGACTATGTTGGGGTGCTTCAGCTCCTTCAGCAGTGAGATTTCTCGGATCGCGGTGCTGGGGACGCCCTCCGTCTCCCTGCAGCAGAGACGGGCTGTACGGCACCCCGTCCCCCAGTGGGATCCTGCAGCCCGTCAGGGTCCCATGTCCCTTCTCCCTTCCATTGTACCACATCGCCTGCCCAGGGGAGGGTCTCTCACATTGGGCGCCCCGGGTTTGGGATGGAATTGCATGTAGGGTGAGCTGGGACAAGGCAGGGGGAAATGGAGCCGTGGGGAAGGAGGGGCAGGGAGTGACCTAGACAGTGCAAGCTGTGGGGTAGAACTTGTTTGGGAGCACCTGTTGTTACATTTGGAGATGCAACGGTTTAAATGCCCAAGCCTCATTTTTCAGAGGTGGGGGGAGATGAAAGCTCTTCGCCCCTCAGGCAGCCGCCTCCACCGTCCTGAAAGGCTGCCATGGGGTGCAGTCCCACCACCATGGCCCCTGGTCCACACTGACACCCCTCATCACGGAGACAGCACAGGGCCAACCCAGGGGAACAGTAATAAGCTTTTAGCTGCTCAGTCCCCACCCTGGAAGGGTTGAAGTCGGCCCTGCCGGGAGGCTGAGCCTCACCAGGCCCCGGCATCACACCCCTGGGGGAGAGGCCACCTCCCAAAAATGGCAGCTCCTTCCCCCTGCCCTGGGCCATGGCACCGGGGCCAGGTAGCGCCGGGTCAGGCCCTAGCTGCTTGTATGAGCTAATAGAGACATTGTTTCCCTCATGTCAGGCTTTTTTGAGCCTCTTGCACCATTTTGGACACTGGGCTGGGCTCAGGGGCCCCCTGCTCACTCCCATGGCAGGGCTGGGGGGCTGTTGGGCTCAGCTGGCGGCCATCTCCCCACAGATGGCAGTGCCGGCCCCAGAGGAGCCATTCGCCTTCCTCGCCTCCCTCTCGCCTTGGCACCCTATTGCCGCCGTGCTGAGGAGGCAGCCGGCCTGGCGCCATGGTGGGCCAGGTGGGCACAGGGCTGGGCCGAGCCATGGCAGCCCCTGGGTCCGGGGTTTTGCCCCACTCACGAGTCCAAGCGGATCTTCTTGAGGGCCACCAGCTGCCCCGTGCGCTTGTTGCGAGCCTTGTACACCACACCGTAAGTGCCCTCCCCAATCTTCTCCACTTTCTGAAACACCTCCTGGAAGGCGTCCATGGCACTGCCTCAGCCTTGTGATGGCAGTGGGGGCAGCTGGCACTGCTTTCTGAGGGGAAAAAAAAGAAGGGGGCAAAAAAAAACCCCAAATGTG